AACATATCATATTAATATCACAATATAAACATAAATAACCTTAAGATTCCCACACATTTTTAAAAATTCAAACATGTCAAAAAGTTCAGTTTCTATAAAATATCTAATTATCTCTTTAAAAGTCCAAACTGTCGCAACTGTGGGCTCCTGAAGAGAATCAATATTAAGGCACATACTTTCTTACTCCAAGAGGGAAGAACCAGAGCACAGGCACAACCAAATCAAAGTAAAGCCAAAATTCAACAGTGCAGACAGTTCAGGGCCTGCCATCTCCTACCCACTTATGCTCCCCTGGGCTCCAGATGACCTGGGAGCTGTCCTTCTCCAGTTCCTCCATCTGAGCACACCCCGCTTGTCTGAGGGCGAGGGTTAGGCTCAGGTTGGCTTCATGCCGTAACTGCTGCTCTCCTTGGTAGTTGCTGCAGTCCTAGCATTTCTAACACGCTGGGATCTCCACAGTGAAGGAAGCCGCACCCTCACCAGCAGCCTCCACTGACTGCGGCTTAGGCCACACAGTGCCAAGTCTCAGCTGTTCTCCCTGACTCTCTCACGCCTTCAAAACCAGTACCACCTGGGTGACTCTTACACATTACCAAATTCAGCTACTAGCTAGTAGCCATAAGCCCCTATGGACCACATCTTCTGAGTGGTAACCTCAAGGAAGCATCCCTAGAAAATCTCACTTCAGTGTTTATCTTGTCTTAATCACCAGTTTCTTAGCTCTAGCTGACCAGCACTGACTGTCCCAGGAAAGTATAGGTTTTCCTTCGGTAGTTCTGGTCTCTTGTTAATCACAGCTGATTTCTTCAACTCCAGTTGACCAGAGCCACAGATTCTCAATACAAATAGTTGATTGTCTTTGCTTCCCTTTGAACCTTCACAAGCCAGGTCACCATTTACAGTGCACTCAGCTTCATCTTCCAAGTTCCCACAATGGCTCATTAAACTCTGAGGACTCAATTGTTTTGCCAGCTCCCCAACCCTAGCATCACAGCAATAGCCCAGATGCTGGTGTCAATTCCATTGTTTGTTTCTTATTAACAAAACAGAGGCAACCTGGGGAAGAAAGGATTTGTTTGGTTTATAGATACTCACGGCAGGAACTGAAGCAAAAACCATGGAAGAATGCTGCTCACTGTCTTGCTTCTTATGGCTCACTCAGCTCGATTCTTACATAACCCACAACCCACAATGCCGGCTAGTCTTGGTTGTCATCTAAAATTAACTACAACGCAATGCACCTGGGAAGACCACGTAAAAGGTCATGGGAGAAGAACGCTTTTGCTTTTTGCGAGCTTGCCCTCATGCTCAAGTTCATCTATCCTACTGCTGAGCCACTACTTCACTGGTATTAGAATGTAATTCCCCAGGATTCCAACATAGACTGAACAAGTCTCAGATTCTTGGTCCTTCAATAAGGAGACAGGCACCCTTGGGCTAGCCAGACCACAGGCTGTAATCCACTCTAATAAGTCCCCTTTTAATCTATGCATATTAATTCTACCAATTCTGTTCCACTAGAGACTCTGGCTAATACAACTGCCCAGAGATGTCCCCATCCATAATGGGCTGGGCCCTCCCCCATCAATCACTAATCAAGAAAATGCCCAACAGCATTGCCTACAGGTAATTAGATGGAAGCATTTTCTCAATTGAGGTTCCTCTTTTCAGATAACTCTAGCTTGTGTCAATTTGACAAAAACCAAAACAAACAAACAAAAAGAACCCAAAAAATCCCAACCAGGACAAATCCCACATCGAAAGAAAAAATACTGATTGGTAAATGTTTAACTATTACTCACAAGAAGTGTTTAATATTATCTCTCTAGAATGTACTAAATACTACATTACGGGAGGTTCACATGTCCTTAGATGAACAATCAGGTTTTAAGGGTATTTTGTTGTTTTGTTTTTCCACTATACTTCTTTACAGTTTAATCAAAAGAAACATTAAAAGAATATGCAGGACTGGGATGGTTATGAGATGGTTAAGAGTTCATAGGCGCTTGCAAAGTACAGTTCCCAATACCTGCCAGACAGCTCCCAACCTCCTTTATCTCCAGCTCCATGGAATCTGACACTCTGATCTCCATGGTCACTTGAAGCTGAGTACACATGCTCAGACACAGACATAGACACATCATTTTAGAAAATGATAACTCTTTTCAAAAAAGCATGAAAATAAAAGAAACTGCATGCATGAGCCAACTTTCAATTGCAGTGACAAAATAAATCCCCTAAGCCATGTGCGCTGATCACCTTACCAGAATGATACAAAAACTGGAACTTATGGGTGGCCCCAGGAGCTCCTGAGACATGGCATCTCAAACCTCTGCTGATACTGTCAGCAATGGGACTAGAGACTGGCCACTGTGTGGCTTTGGCTCCCTCGACCTTTTAGTCGGTTGCTGAGTTCACCCAAGCCTGGCTGTCAGTGCCATCCTCCCAGCCTGCCACAGCAGACATGGGCCTCACCAGAGAGAGTCCCCAGCAGAGGCCTGCAGTATTTCTTGCCCACCCTCAGTTGGTGAGATGTCTGTTTACATGAGACTACTGTAATCTTTATAATAGCATGAGGAGTGTTTGTGTGAATAAACTGAGCGCATTCGAAAGGCAAATCTCATGTGGACATCTTAATTCCTGAGGGACTCACAGTCCACCAGTTCTGCTCCTCAAAAGTACGTATGATGGTAGCCGGGCGGTGGTGGCGCACGCCTTTAATCCCAGCACTCAGGAGGCAGAGCCAGGCGGATCTCTGTGAGTTCAAGGCCAGCCTGGTCTCCAAAGCGAGTTCCAGGAAAGGCGCAAAGCTACACAGAGAAACCCTGTCTCGAAAAACCAAAAAAAAAAAAAAAAAAAAAAAAAAAAAAGTACGTATGATGGTATGGTGTAAATGCCACTGTGCTTGAGCACCTTCTACTCTGTGGCCTCTGCAGCTGCAGCCAACATGCTTCCTCAGTGGACCTTCCACAATTTTGTCCCCTCTAACATCCTGGGGTCTCTATCACCTATTTCACTTCACTGACCTCTTAGTGCTACATGGTACCTCTTCTCACAAGCCTTCTTTCAGAATCACTGTGGTGTCGCAGGAATTGTTAGAAGGTCTTATTAATAAAAACAGACCTGGAGCCAGGTATTGGGGTGAATGCTGGAAGATCAGAGAAGCGGAACAAGCCACAGCTTCCTCACCTCGCCAATTCCTCAGCTGATCCTGTTTCCTCAGACTGGAAGCCTCTCAGTCCTCACCCAGAATGAATCTCAGCTGAACTGCTGCTCAAAAGCCTAAAAGCTTAACCCCTCTTTCCTGGTCCTCACGCCTTATATACCTTTCTGCTTTCTGCCATCACTTCCTGGGATTAAAGGCTCACTTCCTGGGATTAAAGGCGTGAGTCACCATGCCTGGCTGTTTCCAGTGTGGCTTTAAACTCACAGAGATCCAGTTGGATCTCTGCCTCCTAAGTGATAGGATTAAAGGCGTGTGCTACCACTGCCTAACCTCTATGTTTAATATTGTGGCTGTTCTGTTCTCTGACCCCAGATAAGTTTATTAGAGTGCACAATATTTTGGAGAACACAATACCCCCACACTGTGGAAGCCTGTGTGGTCCCACAATCCTTGCATTCTGGACGTCTGCAAATTCAGCATCAAAGGGACAATGCCAAGATCTGCTGGGACCTCTTGCATGGCTGCAATGGCCTCAAAGTACTTTGATAGCTCAAGAAGGTAAAAAATTCTGGGGGAAACAACTGCCTAGACCAGTGGTTCTCAACCTTCCTAACTCTGTGACCCTTTAATACAGTCCCTCATGTTGTGGTGACCCCCAACTATATTTCATTGCCACTTCATAACTGTGATTTTGCTACTGTTATGAATCATAATATAAAAAAATCTGATATTTGACCCAAAGGGGTCATGGCCCACAGGTTGAGAACTGCTGGCCTAGGTCGTTCTGGACAGCAAGGCACCTGGAGGCTCTCTTCTCCAACTGCCTTCTAAAGAGTTACTGCTTTCCATCCTCCAGCTGCAGTGGGTGGGGTCTGAGTGGCTCCAGCATGCCCTCACGGAACCTTTCCTACTTCTCAGCATCCTTAAATGGCCTGAATCTCTTCAGTAACCTACACCTTCCATGCCCCCAAATTTCTTTTCTGGTCAACCTGACAATTACTCCAATCCTCCTACTTTTAGCAGTTGAGCTTTGTTATGATTTTTGCTGTAAATCTAGCCAAACACAGCCAGCTTTCCCCAGGCTGCATCCAGAATGCTGTGCTGACCTCAACATTTCTCTGTATCAGTCTGTCACCTTTAATCTCAGCTTCACACAGAGTCTCAGGGCCCGAACAGAATGAAAATAAATTCTTTGTGTAATATACGAGGAATGGCCTACCACGGACAAAACCCTTGTTCCTGTCTGAAGCCTGGTTAGCAGTCTTTACCGCCTGCACTCTGAGTATGGTCATCTGAGTCCCAGCAGAACCACCTTTCTTTCTTCTCCCTTCTTCATTTTAGGCTTTCTCTAAGTGGCATAACCACATCTTTTAAACTCTTGGACAAACCAGTTAAACCACACGGTCAGACATAATCATAGTATGATCCTAGTTCTGGGTAATAAGTTTTCTGCTACTGTGACAAAATATCTGAGAAAACAGACTTAAAGCAAGATTTGAATAAAAAAAAAGTTCACAAAAAATGAGCAACTCATATTTTATGGGTAAATGACAAATATACTCCTCTTTATTGTTATTAAGGTGTGGTGTCACCAATGTCTTTCAGGAACAGAGCACTTATTTAATTCCGCTATTGGCCATGGTTTGGGCCCTGCAAATTCCCTTCCCCTTCACCTCAAAGGGAACCCCTTTGTATGTGGCCACACACTCAGCATTAGTGTGCAGGTCAGGCTGGATCTGCTCCCAGATCTTCTTCTTAGGGTTCAGCTCCTTGTCAGGCTCTCCTGTTCAGAGAGAAAGCAGGACGTTCCATAAGCAACACCCAGACACTCTCAGGACGCTCTGGATACGCAGGCTTTTCAAGCGTTCAGACAGCACTTGATCCTAAGCTTCAACCAGAATCCTTACATTTCACCTTATTTTCACACTGCAGTGTACGCTCTTGATTGGTAAAATAAAATGGTTATTGTAATTTCCTTAGGAGCACTGAACACATATTTGAAGTATTTCTGCAGATAATATAGGTTAATAATTCATTTCCCAAATTATCATCATTAGTGTTATTACTGAAGTGCTGGGGATTAAACCCAAGGCAAGCATGCTATCATTTAGGCTAAACCCCCAGCCCCAAATTACTCAAAAAAAATTGTAAGCTATTCATTTCACCATGTAAAGAAAATGTGGGAAGACAGGAGCCCATGCAGATGTGTTGGACTTTTACATGTGGCAGGGGCAATATATGAGGAGCAGTAACAATACAGGAGGAGCACTTTCTAAACACTAGGAGCACATGCTGTTGCCTGAAATACATACAACAATCTTGGTTCTGATATGACACATGGAGAAACTGAAGGAGAGAGAAGATAAACTGCAGTCACACCAGCAGCAGGCACAGACAGAATACAACACCAGAGCCTACTACTCCTGGGACAGCACCAGGCCTTCTGATATGGCACGCCGTGGCTTATGAAAGAAACAAATGGCCCTGGAATAAGCAGATACCACTCCTAATCCCTCTATTTGCAATAAGTGACAATGTGTGTTTTATAATCAACAGAAGGCAAATGAGGAGTGAAGTATCTCTGGTCTCAGTTTAAAGATAAGTAACAGATCAAAGAACTCTTCTACTTACTGATAGGGAAGCAGACTATCTTATTACTGGAAATACTTTATTCTCTGTTCTCTCTCTCAATACATATTTCATGTGCATACAAATAACAAAATGGAGGAAATTTTTTGGCTCTGTTGTCTGTCCTTTTTTAGCTCTTCAGTGACTAAAAAATTTAAGAGAAAACAAAACTAAAGTAAAACTCTGCCTACATATATAACACATTTTTCTGAAATACAAGAATAGTTCAATGAATGAGACACCTCGAGAAGAACATACAATGAAAGTATAACTGAAAAAAATGACTGGAGTCAAAGAGGGATCTCTCTCCTTTCAGATCAGATGATGGTAATGACACCATAGCATCAGAGGAAAGCTAACCACAAAGTGCAATTGTGTTCTCCTTAGATCTACAAACTGTAATGTCTCACTATACAGCCTTGGCTGGCCAGAAACTTACTCTGTAGATCAGGCTGGCCTTGAACTCAAAGATTTGCTGTCTCTGCCTCCCAAGTGCTGGGATTAAAATACTGTGCAACCACAACATAAAATCCTGGCCCCAAAACATAACTTTTATACACACTGGAAAACCAAAAGGTTCATGGAGACAGATATTCATCCTATGGTATGGTCTAGAACCAACCTGAGTATCTCGGTATGCTTATCCTTTGAAAATTTTCATACCACAAAAATGCAAAACAAAAACCTTTTACATTATGAACACTGGACCCTGACAACTGAAAAAGTCTTGATTTCAGTGTTAATTTTCTGCTTTACCAAAAATGTCTCTCAATAATGCACTAGTCAATAGGTTACAAGGCTAGTTGGAAACAAGAGTAAAAATAAACCTTGGGCTGTCTTGATGGTTCATCAGGTAAAACGCACACTTAGCAACCTGAGCTCGATTCTCAGGAGTCACACGGTGGAAGGAGAATTGATTACCAATAGTTCTTTGTAGTCCACGTTCACACCTATGTTATGTGTGCATATATACTTGCACTTGCATATGTGTGCACACACACACTAAAATATAAGAAAAGGAAACCTGTTTCAAGTGTCTTAAACCCTATCTTACAGAGAAATCTATTCTCATTTTTATGCTATGTCCTTCTCCTAGACAGACTTTTCCTAACCTTCTTTTCCTTTTTTGTTAAGAGGTACCAAAAAACAGATGATGTCGATAATACAAATTCTTCAAACTAATGACAGCAAATCCTTTGAACTTGCTTAACATATGGCAAAAAATCACCACTTAGAAATGGTTATATCTACTGTAGGAGGATTAATCTTTCTGAAATTATTCTAGGCTACATTATAAGAGAAAATACTCTGTAGTATTTCATGTACATGTGTGACTTTATGGACAGCAAGATGGTTATGTTATGTTCACTCTATTTTAAGCAAATTTCAGGAAAAACCTCTGATACACACATAGGACACATATAAACCTCTAAGCTTTATAAACATCACTGTAGAAACTGATTCCCAAACTATTTAAATAATTATTAATACTTACCAGGGAAAGCATCAAAAGTAACTCTGTCTCCAGGAACAGACCCACTGGGAGGGGCCAGAATTTCCACTTTCTCTGGTGAACTAGCACACATCACCATTGCTTGAGACAGCACTCCTCGCATTTTTGCAGGCTTCAGATTACACAGTAAAATCACCATCCGATTTTGCATCTGTGCAGAACAATAGAAATGACTAAAGATATGTAGAGATTTAGAATAACCACATTTAGAATACTCCAGGTACACCGATGCTCTACTTGTCAAATGTGCTACCTTTGTGGATGTAACTTTGTCTCTATGTATATAAAATATTTTTAGCTATGAAGTCTGATATCTTGCATAAACATGAAAAGAAAATCACTCAAACTGGCAAGTCATGAGCACAACAGCAGAAATCTTTTTTCAAATATATATGGGTGTTTTGCTTTTTTCCAAATGTATATATAAGTGTTTTGCCTACAAGCACTTCTGTGGCTGGTATCTGTGGAGGCCAGAGGAGGGGTGTCACATCCCTTGGAACTGGAGTTGTAGATGGTCATGAGTCTTCATGGGGGCACTGAGAACAGAAGCTAGGTCCTCTGCAAAAATAGCCAGTGTTGCTAACCATCAGGCCATCTTTCCAGACCAGTGGAACTTTTTCAATTAACTATTTATTTAAATAATAAATAATAAATGTAAAATTTCAGCCACAACCAATTGGAAATGTATAAAGTTAGTCCTCCATTTCTTTGAAAAAACAGCCAAAAAACACGGAACTCAGGAGTTGTCACAGGATCAAATTACAGCAAGCATGCACATTATTTAGGCCAGCATTACAACTAAAGTCAATGATCCAGCTACAGCTGACCTTGCACTCAGCTCTGACCCTCCACCTCTATTACACCAAGGTTGAAGCTATACACTGAGTAACTGCTTTGTAGAGTAGATGCTAAGAATTGTTGTCAATTCTGCCTTGAGAAAGCAGTGAATGCTGGAAAAACTCAGCTCCTAGTTCTAATAATTAAGATATCCATATTTTCATAGCAAATTCCACGTAATTATTTTAAACACTATGAAAGATAACTAAAATGTTTTGGCATCGTCCTTCCATATGTATGCAGTGGCAAACAAGAGAATCTATCTCAAAAAAGGTGGAAGGCAAGGGCTCACACCAAGATAGTCCTCTGACCTCCACACTCATTCTAAGGAACATACAAGATCGTACTCACATACATTAACACAAGAACACACAAGGGGAAAAATGATGCTTTCTTTTTGTCCTACTGAATTTATTTTATCTTTCAGGCCTTTAAGTCTGGGGTGGTTTCATATACCTTTTTTTGAAATTTACCTGAATTCATCTTTTTTTATATTTATTTATTTTTATGAGTGTTTTGCTGCATGTATGTATGTGCATGATGAGTACCTGGTGGGTGTGAAAGTCAGAGGAGGGTGTAGGATAGCCTAGAAATGGAGTTACAGACTGTGAACTGTCATGTGAGTGCTGGAAATCCAACTCTGGTCCTCTCCAAGATCAGTAAGTGCTCCTAATATCCCTGAGCCATTGCTCTCGCTTTCAACTAATCATTTTGAAATTCACATACTAATCATTTAAAGCAATACATATGAGTAGATCACTTGAGATGACACATGTAAGTGGTAGTCATTTTAATGGGACAGATCACCTGTTCTAGAGGAACATGATTCACCAGTCCACTGACGACTGTTCTTGGGGCTGCTTCTCCCACGTCTACTTCTTCTACATACAATGAATCGGCATCGGGATGCTTTTTGGCAGTAATGATACAACCAATTCGAAGATCCAGACGTGAAACATCTACTGGCTTAGAGTCAGCACTTGCTGCTGCTGACTGCTGCTTCTTCTCTTTTTTCTCCCCTAAGGATTGAGAATATGTAAGCATCAGAAATCAGACAGACAAACAGAAAACACCAAGAGAAGTCTCTGGTACCAGTGCTGAAAAGTTCAGAAAAAAAAAAAAAGATCATTTTTTTTTATCACAAAGGATATTGAAGTCATAAAACCCACACAACTTTAGCTATTTCTCTGGAAACAAAAAACAGCACATTATTTTGATCCTTCTACTTTATGACTATCATCATCACCACTGTCAATCTCTTATGGTGCCAAATTTCTAAGCTACCCTTGGATAAAGGGCACTACTGTATAACAAGCATGCATTAACATTAGATAGACAAGGAATTCAGAGGCATGAAAAATAAACCTGCATGGCACAGGAAAGGAGGATCCGGTAAAAGGATTTCACATTTATAGAGGCAGTTCACAAGAGACAGAACTAGTTTAAATATGGGTAGTTTTTAATCTCATTTTTTCCATTACAGATTAGCAAAGATTTTTACAATAAAAATGAAGATATTATTAGAAAATCATCCAAATCATGTTGTCTTTGTGTGATAAATTATACACAATTCACTATACTGCACTGTAAACTATAACAATGTATATATCCACTTATTTTATTTTAATGCAATAGCCATATTTAGAATTTGGCTACCCTGCTGAACAATGTAGCACACGACTGCCATCACAGAAAGATTCACTGGACAGAAGTGTTCTGAACACAGTCCAGTTGAGTTTTGTGTTCTTGTCCTCTACAACTGTTGCCTAAACTGACTAGAAGTTGATTAGTTGTAGCAACAGATTAACACTTAGAGAACAGAATAATGGTTAGACAAAATCTTAAGATCAAACCACAGGATTATTGTGTGTCTCTGTGCTGACTGGCTTTCACTGGCCCTACAAGGTCTGATATTTACAAAAGGAAATGGCAGGTATTGGATGTTAAAATGCTTTATGTCAGTTCATAAAGCCCTTAAACGTTCTGTATTTTCCAAAAAATTGTAAATGAGTGTAAGTATAATGGGAGGCACATATAAGAATGGATTATAAAAGCAGATTTACAGACAAATCTAATGAAGTCAGATGTTAACTAGAAAAGCTGCTTCAGTAACAGGGTAGGGTGAAAGAAGGAACCTTAAGAACTTGAACAATGTAGCATCTCACAAATCAAGAGCACTTGGTGACAGGAACTAAAGAATTCGCTAGTTAATTACATATGAAGACTGAAGGAAAGGGACAGGTAGGGCTGACTGCAGTATTTCAGTGTGGCTGCCTAAGCAGACTGTGAGACTTCTTTGCCATGTTGTATTTTATCAGTTCCTTAACATCCCCATGCCTCAGTTCAGATGTTCTGCTTTCACTGGATGTCACTGTCCATTTTGCCTAGATGACTGTAAGCCAACTTTGACCTCTGACTTCTTTGGAACAATGCTCCAACTACACATCCAAGTTTAGTCATCCATCTTATCTTTTCATATTTTTATTTATGGTGATCCCTCTGAATAACATAATTCACTTTTACCTTGTCAGTGTCATCAGCTTTCACATATTCTTCAGGATTCAATTTCTATATCCTAATGACAGACTGTTCTTAATTTTATCTTAGTTCCTAAAAGTTTGGACTTCCTTTTTGATACCATTATTAGCATCATAAATATTAATATTGTCTGATTAAACAGTCAAAGGTCAAACAAGACTAATAATGAAAAGTACCTTTCTTTTCCGTTTTCTCTTTTACCTTCTTTTCTTCTCCTCCCTCTCGTTTAATCTGCTCTTTTATACTCGAAGAGGTGGTCGACACCGATGTAGAGAGCTTCACATTTTCAGAAACTGCAGAGTTAGCTTGCAGTGGAGTATCAGATGGGACTGGAATTTGCTTCACTGACACATAGAAAATGAAGAGAGTGTCACTCATGTTAAACTCATAAACAAAGTGGAACAACAGGTTTGTAAATCCTAAATGTGAACCCTTTTTAAGAGAAAAATCTAATACATATGGCTATCAAGTATCCATTATTTGAGGCTATAGAAAGGGTATCAAAAATTAAGTATACTTTAACAATTACAAAATTTTTCATTTCCATTTATTAAGTAACTAAAGAAGGGTGCAGATAACATCAATACCTAACATAAATCATGAACATACTATGTATTAAATACTATTCAAAGATTCTCCTGAGATTCTCCTAAATTTCCTAAGTAGATTCTGTTTTATTCCATGTCATTATTTTACAAAATGATAAATCTGAGCCATCAGTAAGTTAACAATCTGGCCCATTGGCAGTGAATAGAGATACAACATTATCTGTCTATATATTCCTATGTTCAAAAAAAAAAAGACAACTGTGTATAAATAGGGCTAGAGAGACAGCTCAACAGTTAAGAGCACTTGTGGCCTTCGGAGGACTGGAGTTCTGTTCCTTATTCCCATTACAGGTAGCTCACTACTACCCATAACTCTAGCATTATGCATCAGACATCTTCCAGCCTCTGCAATCTCTCTCTGAAAAAAAGACAACTATTTATATTGTACTTTAGCAATTCTTTACCATATTAAAAATAAAATACGTATCACCAGAAAACATGGAAAAATGTATCTCACAAGGGGATAAAAAGTGGGTTAGAGTTAACTTTTTAGCATTTAGAGAAACGAAAAGCAGTTTTACTGATAAAAACCTTATGTTTAATTCTGTAGCTGTATTCTTAATTCTTCAGCAAAATTCCTAATCTACTAGAAAAAATATCTACCAGTCTCAAATTTTCCACTGGTGTATAATATATAGCTGCCAGCTGTAAAAAAAATGTTTTCTCCAGTGGAGTTTCACTGGGCATATTAACCACACTTAAGAGTAGGCCCTGCAGTGGTTTGAATAGGAATGGCCCCCATGGACTCACATGTTTGAATGCTTGGCTCATAGAGAGTGGTACTATTAGGAGGGCCTTATTGGAGGAAGTATGTCACTGTCGGGGTGGCTTTGAGGTCTCTTAAGCTCAAGTTACACCCAGAGTGACATAAAGTCTCCTTCTGCTGCCTGGAGATCTGGATGTAGGACTCTCAGCTCCTTCTCCAGCACCAAGTCTGCCTGCATGCCACCATGCTCCCCACTATGATGACAATGGACTGAACCTCTGAACTGTAAGTCAGCCCCAGTTAAATGTTTTCCTTTATAAGAGCTGCCATGGTCATGGTGTCTCTTCATAGCAACAGAAACCCTAAGACAGTATATGTCACTAATTTTTCCCTTATTTCATTTAGCTAAAGGAAAAATTCAAACAACATTCAAAATATCATGTTGACAGCATGTCAAAAGAAGCCAATAGAGAAAAGCTTCACTGGTCTGATGAGATGGCTTTGTGGTTAAAGTGTTTGCCAGGCAATTATGAGGACGGAAGTTCAGATTCCCAGAACACACATAAATGCCAAATGCTGGTGCATGGTAGACTGCTTGCACTTCCAGACTAGGGAGGCAGAGAGAGGAAATCACCAGAGCAAGCCGCCCAGTGAGACTAGCCACATCAGCAAGCTTAGTTTGATGAGAGATCCTGCTGAAAGAATAAAGTAGAAAAGCCTTCAAAGGTCATTCCCAACATCAACCTCAGGCCTCCACATGCATGTGAAAGAATGTGCCCCACACATGCAAACATGCATACAGAGAATGTCCCCTAACCCCTCAGATCCAACACATACACACACACACACACACAAGAAAATGGAAGAAGCTTTTAAAAAGGTCAATAAAATTTTAACTTTATTTATAATTTGGAACCAAACTGATAATTTTTTGATGGCATGAGTAACACAAGTTCTTTGATTTTTTTTTTTTTTTTTGAGGCAAGTAACTTTGTATCTCTAAATTTCATTGTCTTGGCTTATAAAATAAAGATATTTTGAGAACAATTTTTTTTCTTTTACTTTTTGAGATAGGATTTATCTGAAGCCCAGGCTAGGCTGGAAATCAAATGGCCCAGGATGGTCTCAAATTTATAGTAATCATCCTGCTTTAGCCTCTGAGTCCTGGGGGTACAGACTGAGCACAGCTGGTGACAGATGTTTTCTAAGTATATAAAAAGTATGTAATTTAACACAAATGCTCATGAAAAAGTTCAGTAACTGTAATTAATTACTGTGGCTACTTCTTTAGTAGGTATTCAACAGCAATGACAGTGCTGGTCAAATCAAGTACACAGCACATGAAAAGCATGGGTTTTGAATACCAGCTTAACCACCCTCTCTGACCTCAGATGAGACCAACCACCTTTTCTAGGTCTACATGCTTTTTTCCTGGAGAGGAGGGAAAATGGACAGTGGGAGTGACATGAGGATAAGAAGGAAACTTAAAGAATAAATCATATAATCCTTGTAAATCAAGCCTCCTAGCATGTCTGCACTCACCTCCATTTTGGATTTCTGCCTGAATCAGCTCTTGCTTCAGTTCTTCTATTTCTTTCTTCAGTTTAGCATTTTCAACTCGAAGTTTCTTTTCTTCTCTCAGAGTTGCCTGCAAAACTAGAATCAAGAAAATTCAGTTAAAAAGTATTTTCAAATGTTTTGTTTGAATATTATTTGAAAAGAGCATAATAAGTATAATTATAGTTGTGATAACAATAGGAACAAATATTTGGCCAGTTTACTATTACTTTATGACAGTTTACCATTTATTATTAACAATTTCTTAGTAGTCATCGGGATATTGGGTGTAAGACTCCCACAGAATATATAATGTAAAGTGATTTACAGATTAAAAACAAGGAACTCAATCTATATATTTAGTGTACTTTCTCCCCCATGCATATATCTAATCCACAGTCAGTTTGAGAGAAAAAAAAAATCTATAAAATAAAAGAGTGGGACAGAAAAAGTTACCTCTGTGTGTGTGTGTGTGTGTGTGTGTGTTGTCTTATGTGTCTGCAAGTGTGCATGCACCATAAATATGCACGTGGAATCCAGAGATGCAAGGGAATATATTTCTCACTTATTCTCTTCCTTGTTTTTTTCGGACAGGGTCTTTCACTGAACCTGGAGCTTGTCGATTCAGCTAGACTGGTTGGCCAGCTAGCAGGCCCCAGGTATCCTTCTGTCCCTCCAGCATTAGGATTATAGGAAACGGCTCCTGCACCTAGATTTGTGACAGGGGTTTTAGGGACAGAACTCAAATTCTCATGCTTGAGCAGCAAACAATGTACCAACTGTGACATCTCCCCAGTCCCCAGAAAAATCATTTCACTATCTTCTATAAGGATGCTTATTAGGTCTAAGACCTAATAAAAAATATGACACCAAGTAATAATTCTTAGCAGAAGTGGAACTATCCCCTGGGTGGGATTATTTTGGGTTGTCGCAATAATGGAAGCTATTTCTGGAATTTATTAGGCAGGAGCTAAGCATTTGAGATATTCAGCCAGACTTTCTAGAATGCAATTGTATATTTATGAGTGTAAACCATGTAAATAGTTATTTTAGCCTGGACCCTAGCTACTACATATACAAATATAATGTATTCTAAAGCATTTTTATTACATCTGGAATTTTTAGGACTCAAGTACCACAAAATGTATATTGTGCTCTCTTTTTTTTTTTTTTTTTTTTTTTTTTGGTTTTTCGAGACAGGGTTTCTCTGTGTAGCTTTGCGCCTTTCCTGGATCTCGCGCTGTAGACCAGGCTGGCCTCAAACTCACAGAGATCCGCCTGCCTCTGCCTCCCGAGTGCTGGGATTAAAGGCGTGCGCCACCACCTCCCGGCTGCGCCACCACCGCCCAGCTAACATTGTGCTCTCTTAATCATTGAGGGCTTGATGTAAGGACTCATTCATCTTTTTCTTCTGTGCTGGGATCAAACCCAAGGTCCCAAGCATATGGGCTACCTCTAAGTATCACCCTAGCCCATACTCTTTATTCTTAGAGTAAATCAAATACAAAAGCAAAACCTACGTCTGGCATGAGATGCTTGAGCAAAGGCAGACTAAATACCTGCCTGGAATTAGTTAACATCACACTGGAAATTTTATGCGTGTTAATCACATAACACATGATTCGCCACTTGTGCTAGGACTTGTAATACCCTGATAGTTTTCATTGTAATAGTGATATGTATTATCACGATTACTTAGAAATTCTTTTTCTCTTATACATAATGTTATGACTTACAATTTTAAGTTAAAGGTAGCATTTTATTAAAAATGTCTTAAGGAATACTAAAAAATTTTTATAAAGTTATTTATTACAACGTGGGACATAAGCTAGGAATGACAGGATTAGGCTACAAAGAATAACAACAGAAGTAAATAATTAGAATGGTTCTTTACTTTTAAATTAGAAAAACTGAAATGTTAGTCAAGACTCTAGGAAATGGCCTTTTTTTTCTTTTGAGACAAAATTTCTCTGTGTAGCCCTGGCTGTCCTGAAACTCACTCTGTAGACCCAGGCTGGCCTCAAACTCAGTGATCCACCTGCCTCTGCTTCTGAGTGCTGGGATTAAAGGTGTGCACCACCACCAGCTGGCGGGAAATGCCACTGTGGTGGTTTGAATAGAAATGGCCCCCAGAGAGAGACTCCTCTGTTTAAATGCTTGGCCCATAAGCAATAGCACTATTAGGAGGTATAGCCTTGGTTGGAGTAGGTATGGCCTGGTTAGAAAAAGTGTGCCACTGTGGAGGCAAGCTTTGAGGTCTTTGGGGCAAGCTAGGCCTAGTGTGACAATCTCCTTCTGCTGCCTGTGGATCAAGATGTACGATGTCTGCCTGAATGCCCATGCTTCTCCCCATGACAATGGACTAAACCTGTGAAACTGTAAGCCAGCCCCAATTAAATGTTTTCCTTTATAAGAGTTGCCATGGTCATTGTATCTCTTCACAGCAATAGAGCCTTAACTAAGACCAGGAACTGGGGTATTGTTGTGATAGGCCTGACCATGCTTTTGCTTGGAGAAATGTGGATTTTGGGATTAGAAAAGCAGTTGAATGCTTTAAGTAGGACTTTGAGATATACTAGTAGGAACATGGAAGACAGTGGTGCTGAGTGTGATTGAACTGTGGAGGCCTGGCTCAAGAGGTTTCCAAGGAGAAGAATTTTAGTATGTGGCCTAGAGACCAGTCTTGTGATACTCTGGATAAGAATGTGTCTTATTTTGCCCTTATCCTCAAAGTCTGCCTAAGGCTGCAATAAAGAGTTTTGGATTACTCATTTGCAAAGAAAATCTCAAAACAGCCTAGTATAGTCTTGTGGTTACTAGTGGTCACTCTTATGAAGATTTATAATGGAAAGGAGCAAGCTGAGCAAGGAAAAATACACAATGTACAGACTGAGGACAAAAGGGTATCAAGAAGTGGAATGGAGCTAAGTCTTAATTAAAGAAGAGCCAGATGTTAACTGGAATAAAGGGAGAAGCGACCTCAGGACAAGACTCCATCTAGCTCAATTTCCAATTTAGAAAAGCTTACAGCTGGGTGTGGTGGTGAACGCCTTTAATCCCAGCACTCAGAAGGCAGAGGCTGGAGAATCTCTAAATTCAAAGCCAACCTGGTCTACAGAGCAAGTTTAGGCATTAAAGGAAACCATAGAAACGAAAGTTAATGAAGATGTAATTGAATGAGAGGCCATGTTCCAGTCTTAGAGAGCAGCAGAACTTGGCTGTTAAAACCAAGAGGTTCTGGTTTTAGAGTCAAGAATAGAAGGGGCTAGGGAATTTGCCTCCATGACTAAGGAAAGCTATTGAGGCCTGCATGGAGGGCCAGAGAGGCCACTGTGTGAAACTGTGAAGGTGAAACTTGGATTGCCCAGGAGACCAAGTGTTGGAGATGCCAGAACCATGGGATACCTGCTGAGGAGAGCTGCTAACAGAGAATGGAACCAGCCCAAGAGAGAGAAGTGTGTTGCAGTCAACAAAGCTGAAAGGAGTTGGAGATCTGAAGAGCATTTTGACATCATATATGGAGATGCAGAGTTTGGAGTTTGCCCAGCTGGTTTTTGGTCTTACTTTGGTCCAGTATTTCCTCACTATGCTCCTTTTTGGAATAGTAATGTATATCGTCTGCCATTGTATGTTGGAAGTCGGTGGTCTGCTTTTTGATTTCACAGGGGTTTACAGTTAAGAGATTGCATAAATCTCAGAAGAGACTTTGAACTTTTGAGCAAGTTTGAGACCATTATAGACTATGGGGACTTTTGAAGTTAGACTGAATGCATTTCTGCATATTGGTATGAATACAAGCCTATGGGGACCAGGAGTGCAATGTGGTGTTTTGAGTAGGAATGGCCACCCATAGACTCATGTGTTTGAATACTTGGCTCATAGGGAGTGGCACTCTTAGGAGGTATGGACTTATTGGAGGAAGTTATGTCACTGTGGGGGCAGGCTTTGAAGTCACTTAAGCTCAAGCTATACCCAGAGTGACACAGTCTCCTTTTGTTGCCTGTGGATCAAGATGCAGAACTCCCAGCTCTTTCTCCAGCACCATGTCTGCCTACATGCCACCATGCTCCCTGCCATGATAATGGACCAAACCTTTAAACTGTAAGCTAGCCCCAATTAAATGTTTTCCTTTATAAGAGTTGCCATGTTCATGGAGTCTCCTCACAGCAACAGAGCACTGACAGCCATGTTTATGAAAAAAATTCTATTTACAATATTTATTATTTCACAGAGAACATCTTCAATCTCTTTACCTTATTAATGGAAAGAATATTAAGGATCATAAAGGAAATACTAGGAAACATGAGGAAAAGGGATTAAAACAAGGTTTTACAATCCTGACAAGGTTTCTGTAAGCCATTCTTAGCTTTTCATAGAAGAAAAAGTATTTATTTAAATTAGTGACAGCACAACATTTTGGAATTTCGATTACAGTACCAACAATAATGGTTATTGAGAAATGAATACTGAATTTAATCAAATCAAATCCTTAAGAAATTTAGTAGAAGTTTTTGTACACACTGCAGAATTTCTCAAAAACTTCAAAGAACAAAAAATATGAAAAACACCTCTTGACCCATAAAACATCAAAGTAACTATTAATGTTTGATTTCATTAACCTCTAATAATATAGCAACTAATTCTAAACAATAGACTCTTCTTTTATCAGTCCTAAAATACTATGTTCTTTTAATTATATATTTACCGCTGTGGTTAGTTTTTTCGTCAACTTTACACAAGTTAAGAGTCATTAAAAATAATGAACTTCAACTAAGAAAAGTCTTCTCAGATTGTACTGGGCAAGTGTGTAGGGCATTTTCTTGACTAATGATTAACAGGGGAGAGTCTGACCTGGGGTGGCACTTCTCCTGGACAGGTGGTCCTGGCTGTATAAGAAAGCAACTAAGCAAGTCATGGACAGCAAGCCAGTAAGCAGTGTTCCTCCATGGCCTCTTCTTCGGTTCCTGCCTCGACTTCCCTTCATGTTAGACTATAAGCTGCAAGTTGAAATAAACCCTTTCCTATTCAAATCCCTTCGGTCTTGTATCATAACAGAAAGCAAATCATGACATTTACTATATATCAATTCTAATTTATCATAATCCTAGAATATGTTCATAGTCAAAAATTAAAGGAATCTAAAAGCCATAATTAAAATGATCAAGTTGCCGGGCGGTGGTGGTGCACGCCTTTAATCCCAGCACTCGGGAGGCAGAGGCTGGCGGATCTCTGTGAGTTCGAGGCCAGCCTGGGCTACCAAGTGAGTTCCAGGAAAGGCGCAAAGCTACACAGAGAAACCCTGTCTCGAAAAACCAAAAAAAAAAAAAAAAAAAAAAAGATCAAGTTATAATTTACACAGTAAACATTTAACTGTCATTATTAGAATTTATCATTATAATCTGTCATTAGAATGTCCTTACCTGCTTTCTCCTTGAGAAGAGCAACCTGCTGCTTGAGATAGTCAATGATCTGGTCTGCCTCTGCACCCTTCTGCTCTAACCTCTTCAGAACAGCATCATTGGTTGCCATCTTTGCCCAGAATCGGCAGAAAATCCTAAATAAAACATGAAAGTAATAAACATACTGTGGAGGGAAAGAACACATTTTTTTTTTTTTTGGTTTTTTGAGACAGGGTTTCTCTGTGTAGCTTTGCGCCTTTCCTGGAACTCACTTGGTAGTCCAGGCTGGCCTCGAACTCACAGAGATCCACCTGGCTCTGCCTCCCGAGTGCTGGGATTAAAGGCGTGCGCCACCACCGCCCGGCCACATTTTTATTTTATAGTAAACTGAGAAAGCAACTGAGGGAAAAACATTCTCTCCTATAACTGATCAACACCGTCAACAGGTTCTCCCCTTGGAGAACACAAGTAAGCAGGGCCTGGGCAGATGGCTCAGCGCCTAAAGTGCTTGTCACACATGCAAGAGAACCCAGGTACAGCCTGGGAGGCACAGCAGCCACCTGGAATTCTAGGCTAGAAAGGAGGCAGGAGATACCCTAAAAAAACTGCTCTGCACTAGCCTTACCTGGTAGTAACTACATGCACTCACGTGCTCACACACACACACACACACGCACACATACAATACATACACGTACAAAAAGAAACAGGAAAAAAAATAGGGCAGAAATATTGAGTACACTAATGCCTGCATCTATTAGGAAGAGTAATCTACTTTGAAATGTACTTTGTTCTTCAGTGCAGAAAATAAATACTAGATTTAAGGCTGAAAAACTTTAAAGTTTTGGGATATGCTGTAGAATATCCCAAAATGAGCTCAGTACCCTACACTATGGAAGAGGACACAATAACACTTGTTGAGCTGTGAGTAGACACCTGTGTTCTAAAGCAAACAGAACTGCTGACTCCCTTCCTCCTCTAGGCCTCACTTTTCCTATACTGGATATTTTCACTGTTTGCTGAGTTACGTGCACCGAACTAAAAGCCAAAAATATCGAGACTTATGAAAATCATCAACATTAATCATGTGTCCACTCAGAAAATAATGCTAGTACATATACCATGAATGTATGCAAGGGGACACAGTAAAGAAACTGCTCACATGACCACTTCACTATCATGGAGAAGGACTTTACTATGAATAAGAGAGACAAAATATCCAGAGGTATCTGGAAGAGTCCAGAGTAGAGGGAAAGCAGACTGGTCATGGCCAGGGTTAGGAAAGGACAGGAAAGAATAGAGGAGACAGGGAGCTAGCAAGATAGAGAATAGAGCACAGTGAGAGCAAGAGGATAGATGAAACAGAGTGTGTGGGGGTGGACAAACAATGTGGATTATAAAGAGGACTAGTAAGTGGGGACAGGGAAGGGCAGAATGCTAGCATGGACTGTGAAGTGTGTGACAGGTACTTGTGATACTGAGGGAGCCTGAAGGCCAGCATGCACTTTAATATACTGATAAACTCCATAAGTAGCCATATGTCCCTTTTGCAAGAGGTTGAGGAAAATGACTACTTTGGGCAGATGGGAATCATTTCACAAATTTCTGATGAATGCTGGCTTTTATTAAACTGCCAGAAATCCTTCTATAGATTAGCTTGAGCTCATTTCTAGATATATGGACTACTGAGACCTCACAATGAATTTGTAACAAATTTAGAATTTTTACAATTATTTTAAAAAGTTTATTTATTTGTAATTTACAAATACAATTACAAAGAAATCCAAAGAAAAAGTATTCTGTTTAGGTACAGTAAAATAAATATAAGTGAATATTCTGAGATTAACTCACTGTATAAAACTGGCTGCTGTTAAGAAAAATACACTCAAAACTGAGATTAAGCATTATTAGCAATATAAGTTATTCTTATTTACCTGATTTACTACCGATTTATAGTTAAAAAATAAAAGAATGACAAAAGCATTGCAGAAATAATCCTGATTTTCAATGAATGAAACCACACTCACTAAATGACTTTATAATAGAAACTGTTCAACAAATAATATATGACTGCTTTAAAATGTCAAATGACCATTTACTATCAACCCTACATTATAAATGTTCAGAGATGTTTACATTCTTCATTAAGAAAATAAACCTCCAAAATATCCTAAAATTGACAATATATGATGGGACAATGCAAAACCCAAAATAAAATGCTATAAAACAAGTTGATAATAACATCGAATACATAAACAGGAATTTAATATGGAAAGGTAAACTGCATGTTCTCTACAAGCCTTTATTTTAGCCATTAAAAATATGGACAAAAAAGTACATAAATTCAAAATAAAGACAGCCTTTTAAATTCTTCCATTTTAAGCAAAATAAACACAGAATACAATGTCATTTCTCAAATGTTTACAGAGTTGGGATCTTAGAGATAAAAAAGAAATTGCTGTATGAAGTTAAGGAAAATTGATATACTCTCTCAGGGGTTCAGTTTCTTGAGTTACAACAATTTTTTCATGCATTTCCACTTTCGTCTACTGTCCTAGTTAGTTTTATTGCTGTGAAGAGACACCATGACCATGACAACTCTTGTAAAGAAAACATTTAAATTCTACATCTGGATCAGCAGGCAGCAAGAAGAGACACTGGACCTGCCTTGAGCATTTGAAACCTCAAAGCCCACCCCTATAGTGGCACCCTCCCTCCAACTAGGCCACATCTAGTAGTGCCACTTCCTGGTAACCAAGCATTCAAATACAGGAGTCTATGGTGACCATTCCTATATAAACCACCACATTTACCATAACAATCAAATGACATACTCATACTGGGTAGATGTCATCTTCCAGTTTCAAACAAGTAACAATGAGCACTTGAGAATAGGAATACTGTGTGCTCTCGTCACTCCTCATACATACTAAAAATGTACTGTAAGAGCGGCAACAGTAACAGATGAGGAAGTCACAGAGGCCAGATCAAAACCTATTCTTTGCCCCTCTGCCACTTAACAGCTGAGTGATCTCCAACAATTTATTTAACCTGAGTTTTCCCAGTTATAAAACACACACACACACACACACACACACACACACACACACACACACACACACAGACTATGTTGATGAAGGGCAAAATGGTATAGCATAAATAATACTAATTAAGATTTTTGGCACATGGCAGAAAAATGGTGGCTAAACTACCATATGTAGGGCACTGAGCAAAATTCTTAGAACACAACAAAAAAGGTATCCAGATAATCTTTACCTTCAAGAAACCTAGAACACAGTGGGCTGCTTAGTGTTGTTATTTTTTCCTTCTAGCTCTCAAGTTACCATTCTTATGTTTTTCTGAAGGGTTAAGGTCATAAACAATAAAAATGTAACTTACAGACTGATAGTTTGTCAATGTCCTTGTCTGTTTGCCTTTGGCATACAGACCATTAAGTATCACTACATTAGATCAGCCAGGGAGCTTAATTTATGTGAGCTGTCCTGGCCTTAGTTAATACATCGAAGCCACTTGAAAATCTTTGCATACTTTACCTACAAACAGGAACTGCCGTATGTCTGTGGAAACTAAAAAGATCTTCACTTATTAATAAGCAAACTACTGGAGAACGGAAACTAGACAGCATCAAACACAGCAGACTGTGGTTTGAACTCCCTGAAAGGAGCAAGTGGTGCTACCCCTGGGCAGGTGGCCCTGAGCTATGTAAGAAAGCCAGCTCAATGAGCAGGAGAGCTGCGTGAACCACTATTCCTCTGTGGCTTCTGCTTCATGTTCCTGCCTGAAGTTCCTGCTCTGATTTCACTGCGACCTAAAAGGGTAAGCAGAAATAAAATTGTTCCATGCCCAAGTTGCTTTTGGTTAGTGTTTTGTCATAGCAACAGATACCTAAGTTTTTGTTAGTGTTTTCTAGCAATAGGCAGCACTGAGGGAAAAGATACAATTCTTTAGAAAAGGTGGTTACAGTCAACAAACCTAAGCAAAAAACATGCTTGACAGGCTATTTGACCAACTTCTCCATGTTTCACTTTGTTGATTGATATTAGGATCCTTTCCACTGCTTTCTTGCACCTCCACAGGGCCCTTTCTTCACTTGTTGCCTGAACACTGTTGGTCGGAGTTAGGGACAGATGTCTTCTTAGGATCACAAATCATCACCAGGCAGTTTACGGTTACCCTTGTCACCCAGGGCTAATAATAAAATGACTGAAGGTCAAAATCTTTAAGCAAGGCATATGCAAATGTTAACATGATTATTTCCCATTTGTTGGCTGCCAGGTTCCTAAAAGTAATTTCCATCCATGTTCATGATCTCAATCTCACTTAAAAACCCCCATTTTGTCTCATGCTGGGTTTACAGTAGAGAGAAAATGAGCAGTCACCAAGCTTTCAAACAAAGGAGGAAAACAAGTAGATGGAAGGGGGCAAAATAAATGTAGTTTAGGGAGACGGTGCCAAGTTAACAACACTGAAAGCTCAAACCTTTGACTGTTCAACCCAGTGCTCACTGTACTAGTTAATTACTCTATAAGGATCTTACCCTAGTACAAACTACAGACTAATTTTTAAAATATCAAGTCTCCTTGGGGCTGGAGAGATGGTGCAGTGTTCAAGACCTCCTCCATTTTTTTTTTCCCCCAGAGAAATCAGGTTTAATTCCCAGCATCCACAGGGAAACTCACAACCATCTGTAACTCCAGTTCCAGGTCATCTGAACCCCGTCTTCTGGCCTCTGCAGGCTTCAGGCATGCACATAATGGTGTACATACACATGTAGGCACATACATGCACACATACACAAACTAAATTAAGTCTTTTTTAAACGTTTCTTTAGTGTGTTTAGAGCTTTTAATATGCTAATATGCACATTTCTCACAGATGATAATAGGAATAAGATGTGACAACTGTAGAATATTTAGTATTTGCTAAGCACATGAATCATTTATGAATACAAGATAACTGGAATTAAAATTAATTTGCCCAGGTAGTACAGTTATTTAGTAAATGAGGATTGAAACTCAAGTCTGTCAGATGCTGGAGCTAATTCTTTTAATGAGGATGCTGTAATTTCTTCAAACATAATTATCAAGCATTTTCCAATATAATTAATGATGGAACCTGAAGCGAAAAGCAACCATTAGCATTTATTGAAACTTGTATTGTCTAGATGGTTTGAGTGCTTCCTCACTCTCTATGGTAATTTGTTAAAAATATGAGATCAAAATAGATTTTACACTTAATTGTATGGATAATACATGCACACATAAGAACTTTATGCAGAGAGAAAAAAAGGGCAGAGAAGGCAACACATCAAACATATTTTTGCACTTTACTGATGAAAACAAAGACTTTTTTTTACTAATTAAAAAAAAAATGGAAAGGCATTATGTAAACTGTTTCATGACATTAACTTTGTCCCAACTTGTGATCGTATTTCATGAAACAGAGAGAGCAATTAAAACATGATACTCCTTACACACAACACCAAATGTATGAATTTAGAGTACAAATGAAAGAGTAAAACACAAGATATTACTTTTATTACATCCTATTTTTGATGTATTTTTCATCACCTCAGCAATCTCCTTAGTTGAAATTCCTACTTCATCCAAGTTGCCTGTGATTTCTTTTAACTACCAACTACTCTGGCACCAGGTTCTAAAAGTGAGAAAACCAATATTTTTTTTAATTAATGGAAATAAAGTTTTATGTGTAGAATTTTAATTTTACTTTATAGCACAAGGGTTCTACAAAAATTTGGAAATGCCACTCTAATTCTCAGAATCCCTAATTTCATTACTTCAGAGTAACAATTATGTAAAAATACACTTTTTTAGATATAGTACTTCTCAGTACTCAATTTCATCAAATCTACATCATGTATAAAATGGCTTCATAAGATGCTGTTTTAATTTCATTTATACATACAGCAGCAGCATATATAATTGAACTTCCTTTACACATGGATTGTAGATTCAACTGTTACAATGCTGTTTATCCCTTAGACACATTTTGATGGCTATTCTTGGTTGCCAACCTAACTACATCTGGAATTAACTAAAACCTAAGTGGCTGGGTACACCTGTGAAGGATTTTTTTCTTAATTAAATCATTTGAAGTAGGAAGATCCACCTTTCATCTGGGCCACATCTGCTGGCAGTCGACATAAAGGCCACGGAAGAAGGAAGCGTGCTCTTTGTCTGACTGTTCTCATTCTATTCCTTGGCACATCCATTCCTTCACTGGCATTAAAGCCTATTTCTTTGGAATTCTGTTGCACACTTAAAGTCAGCTGAGACATTCAGCCTCATGAACTGAACAACTAGTAGATTCTTGGACCTTCTGTTGGTAGACAACCACTGATGGACTGTAAGTCTGGACCATAGTCTATAAGTCATTTTAACATGTCTCTGTGTCTCTCTCTGTCTCTGTCTCTCTCTGTCTCTGTCTCTCTCTGTCTCTGTCTCTGTCTCTCTGTCTCTCTCTCTCTGTCTCTCTCTCTCTCTCTCTCTCTCTCTATATATATATATATATATATATATATATATACATTCGTTTTTCAAGACAAGGTTTCTCTCTCTGTGTAGCTATGTGCCTTTCCTGGATCTCACTCTGTCAACCAGGCTGGCTTTGAACTCACAAAGATCCACCTGCCTCTGCCTCCCAAGTGATAGGATTAAAGACGTGCGTGTTTACTGAAAAACTTTTAAATTTATCCCTAGACTTTTGTTTATTACTACTTATTTTAGTTTTCCTGTATTTCTGAATACACAGTATCTTCATTTTTAACTCTAAATCATAATCACTAAAAGTATACATAAAATAGAAATTTTGTTGTTTTGTTTGTTTGTAGACAGGTAGCTTTGGAGCCTTTCCTGGAACTCACTCTGTAGTCCAAGCTGGCCTTGAACTCACAGAGATCCACCTGCCTCTGCTTCCCAAGTGCTGGGATTAAAGGTGTGTGCCATCAAAGTCGTCATCACCGTCAACACCACCACCACCACCACCACCACCACCACCACCACCACCACCACCACCACCACCACCAGGCTTCAGAAATTATTCTTTTTTTTTTTGGTTTTTCAAGACAGGGTTTCTCTGTGTAGCTTTGCGCTTTTCCTGGAACTCACTTTGGAGACCAGGCTGGCCTCGAACTCACAGAGATCTGCCTGCCTCTGCCTCCCGAGTGCTGGGATTAAAGGCGTGTGCCACCACCGCCCGGCAGAAATTATTCTTAATAGCTACATTCTAACATGGCACATAACAGAATATCAACATTAACTTATGATGAATGACACAATGAAAACTATGTCACCAGCTGGCAGTCTACAGTGATCTTAAGACGTCAATAATTTTAAAATACATTCCAATTAAAGATACGTAAATGTGAGAAAAAATGTGTTTCAGAATTATTAGTAATCATAGAATCACAGCAGTATGTTTTTTCTCTTCTTCCTTTCATCCCTAATTTTACCTTCCAAACATTCCCTCAGTTACTTCATAATCTAATTACCAAGTTATTGTGCTCTGACAAAAACATGATATGGTACCTTTAGAACCACTTTAAAATTCCTGCTGGTATTTAAGAATGTATCAAAAATCAGAATTTAAAGACAAGTAAATATTACAATATAATGAGAACAATATACTTCAGAAACAAACTACATTGCAGCAACTAGCATCAATCCCACAGGTAATTTTTAAACCAACTTTGCTAAAACTCATTGAAGACCTAAAACTGTTTCTGTGAATTGCCAGAGAACCTGTTTTCTCTTTACTGATGAGGACACAGGAAGTCAGAGAGATATTAAATGATGACAATGAGGTGCTTCAATTTGGGTTTAAAATAACCTATCTTTTCAACCACACTGTCTTGCCCACTTCTAATTCAAGAATGCAGGTAAGAAAAGATACTGCTTTAATGGAAGACATCATCTACCCTGACATTCAGTCTTTACCTTGTAAGGTATCATCTTCAATTTTATACTTGGAGAAATCACATGTCTTGTCTAGATTCAAGTATCAAATGGCAAAACCACAATTTTAACTTATGTATGTCATTCTGAAATTTACAATTCATTTAAAGTGTTTCCCAAAACGTACATAATGAAAACAAACTGCCATCCACAGTTCCCTTATGTGTGTTCACTGGGTACCCCAAGAATATGACTGGACACATCTTAGTAACTATATTGTAGCCACTATTATGTTTCCTTTGAGGACAAACAAAAGCCTCCTGATTGCCTTTCCCACGTCTGCCCTCAGTCTATTGAGTAACCCTCTTAAAAAGAAGTTGGATAACGATACTTGGCTACTGAAACCCTTATAGTGGCTTTCACCCCCCACCTCACCCCCATGACCAGCTGGCTCGCTCTGATACTGTCTCCATCTTTGATTCCTTCTCACAATTCTGAGCCTCCAGGCTTCCCTGATATTCTGGTAAGTTTCTGTTTCACGGCCTTTGGAATGGCTGGGTCTCCTGACTGATGGCACTTTCTGAAGGTTATCTGTATAGTTAATTTCTTTTGTGTCACAGCCTTCCAAGAAAGCCATCTTTGTTGAGAAACTTCTTCTTTGGCCACATTACAAAGCCAAATAATATGCCTTTCTTTACTGTTAATACTTTTCCTGATCAGTATTTATAATCTAAAATATAATATAGGGCCTGGAGAGATAGCTCAGCAGTTAAAAGCGCTTACTGCTGTTGTAGGGAATCCAGGGTCGGTTCCCTGAACTCACACTGGGGGATCACAATCACTGGTAACCCAGTTCCAGGGGATCTGATGCTTTCTAGCCTCCATGGTCACCTGCACACAAGTTTTGCACAGAAACTCAGCAATCATATTAATATCTTACGTTTAGGTCTTTACTTTAACAGTAAAACCTAAGCTGAGAGACAATGACTGGAATCTTTTTGTCCGTTTTTATTGATCTTTCTTTTTGTTTACCGATCTTTACCTAATAACGTTAAACGTTGCCTGGAGTATAGTGATAACTGGCGTTTCTAGTATTTGCTGAACCAATAAATTTCTCTCTTTAGCCCCTCCCCACATAGAAACACTGGAAATCCTCTGCACACTCACTTAGAAGTAAACAATCTTAGGAATCCATCCCCTGCCTCCAGCAGCATGCTTCCCCTCGGCCGTGTACTCACTTCCCAAGCTTAGGTGACTCAAAAGGGGTCAAGCTTTGCCTGTTTGCTCGTGGCACGCGGGAGGAGGTATGGCCACGCTGCCTACTAGTACTTGGAAGGTCAGGTTCTCTTTCCCCGGTGAGAAAGGGGGAAAGAACTTTGGATCGCTACCCATCTACCCTAGACCCTCTGGTGACACTCACATGAAGCAGCGAACCGCAGCACTTGAGCAGCCTCAGCCGGGTACAGGAAGGGACAGCCTCCCCGAGTCCGTAGCAGGGGGAGAAGGGCCCATGGGTGTCCCTGATAAATGCCTGACGGTGTCACAGATTCACCCCCACACCAGCCCTCCACTTCCTGTGCTCGTCCTTTTCTTGTGCCACACTACGCTCCTATTTTCCATTCCTCCCTCTACTCCTTCCTCACGTCTTTCTCGCTCGCTACATTTTGCGGTCTGTTCGGGCAAGGGACAGGCGGCCGGAAGTTGGGGGGGGTCTTTCCTCGGGGTTGCGTCGCTGGCCCGTGACGTCATGAGTAGTGGCCGACCAGAGGCGGCAGAGGGGGAGGGGAGGCTTGGCGCTGTCAGTGGATCCAGGCGCGCGCTCGCAGCCAGATTCTGAGCTGTGAACCTGGGCCGCCCTCGCGGGCGAAGGCTGGTGGCTGCGGCTGTCACTTTCCTTAAGCCGCCTCTTGTAGACGCGCCTGAAACGCAGAACACGGCCCACTAAGTCGCACCGGCAGGCACAACTACAGCGCTTAGGAGCACATCCCCCTAATACAACCCAGATCCAGGCAGGTATTCTGGTGTCCTAGTGTTCTGTGTGGTAGTGGGTGGGGCTTGTGGGACATAGATGACAATCGGGTTCAGAGAGTGACCCCGCCAGTCTGCAGCCACCAGTAGAACCCACCTGTGGAGCTGCTTACTGCTGCGTTTATCTCCAAACTTCCTTCCCATTGAAGCAGAAGTTCACCGAGTTTTAAAATGCAAATACGATTTTACTCAAGATAAAATCAACGTCTTACCCCCAATTTTTGACATTTCCCCCTCATTTGAGTCACTCCTCTCCTAGCTCTTTGAGAGTTTGTATTGTGTCTTGTTCATTGAAAGAGTGTGTCTTGTTTGTGGTCCTTAGTAGTCAAGCAGCTACAAAAACATCGGACTTAACATAGAAGTTTCCCCTGAGTAAACTTTACAAACCAGCTCCTTACATCGCTTTCGTCATGTAATCTCTCACCTCATCATTTTATTTTTTCATTTTCTTGTAGTCACCTAATGTGAGCATATGCATGTATGTTTTCTGTTTGTGAGCTTTACGTGCACCTGAGAAGTAGAGCAATAATTAAATGTTTTTTATTCTTGCTAGTGGTTTATCTTTCTGAATCATAAACACTTGTTTGATTTTTCAATTGTATGTGATTAAGATCTATAACTGAAAACCCAATATTTTGCTGTAAAATGGAATATTAAAATGCCACAGTTATGTATCATCTTTCCTATGACTTCAAGCCTGGTATTTAGATATAACTTTATGTAATTTGGGATTTGTTTATTGAATAAGAAATTAAAATTCTAGGTGATGGTGGTTCATGCCTTTAATTACAGCACTCTGGAGGCAGAGGCAGGTGATCTCTGTGAGTTCAAGGCCAGCCTGGTCTATAGAGCAAGGTCTAGGACAGCCAGGGCTACACAGAGAAACCCTGTCTCAGAAAACAAAAAACAAAAAACAAAAAAAAAGGAAGAAGAAATTAAAATTCTAGTCCTTTTACTGTTGCCTTTTTACATCAGCCCACAGCATCTACAAGATTTGGAAGAGTGATCATAACTATTTTAATATCAACTCTTGAGAAGCTGTTTTGACTCCTTTCATAAGATGAGAATAGTAGTGGCTCTCTGCATCACCACAGAAAACAAATTCACCTGTGTTACCAAGTTTGCAGGCCCTGAGGATCTGAAAGCTGCAGGAGATTTTATTCAGCTACCAATGAACAGAGAAGGAGCCCATGCTCTAACGGCCTCTTACAGAGCAAGTCTGAGGCCTGGGTTTGAATGGGATATGAAGTGATGTACATACATGCTGTCATCAAAATGGTTCATAGGAAAGTGAGTTTTCTGGGAACTAAGACCGCCACCTTCCTTCTGCCCTAATTTGGGCATAATCGTGTCTGTGGTGGCACTATGAGTGTATCCTTTTTGCTATAAAGAGCACAAATTCACGACAATTGTCAAAATGGTACCCAAAGCAGATTGAGGTCTGGAGTTTCTTTGCTGGTTGGCCATTGAGTGCACGTGGCTATGGGTACTTGGATTTTAAGTTTTGAAAGCCAATGGCATCTGTAAGCAAACAGAGCTATCACTAATTAGCTGGTGTAGCCTAGCCCTGGTTAGTTGATTCTATGGACTATTTTCTTGTGTCCTTCACTCTTCCAACTCCTATAATCCTTCCTCATTCTACTTGCTGGGTGAAGCCTCTCTGATGATGATTATGCTAGACTCTTGTCTATGAATACAGCAGAGTGTCATTAGAAATTATTTCGTTGACTTTTTTTTGCCAGTCATGTTTAGTTCTATCCTAAGTCTCTGGACTACCCAATCTCCAGTTCCTAGCCCTCCAACCAGTGTCAGGCATGGGCTCCCTCTCACAGCAGAGTGTTGTGGAATATTAGTTTAAGGTGTGTTACATTTGTTTTTGCTTTGCAACATTTGTTTAATGATGCAAAAATGTGTTGCATTCTTTTATGTTGCATTTGTTTAACTCTGTAAAGCTGTGTTACTATGCCTGTCTAAAAAACCTGATTGGTCTAATAAAGAGCTTAACAACCAATAGCTAGGTGGGAGAGAGGGATAGGCAAGGCTGACATGCAGAGAGAATAAGTCGGAGAAATCTAGGGAAGAGAAGAAGAGGAGCTAGAAAAGGAGAGGAGGACCTCAGGGGCCACCCACCCAGCTACACAACCAGCCACAGAGTAAAACAAGAAGAAAGACATATAGAATAAAGAAAGGTAAAAATCCCAGAGCAAAACATAGAAGAGAAATGGGTTAATTTAAGTAAGTTAGAAAAGCTGGCTAGAAACAAACCAAGCTAAGGCTAGGCATTCTTAAGTAAGAATAAGTCTCAGCCGGGCGGTGGTGGCACACGCCTTTAATCCCAGCACTCGGGAGGCAGAGCCAGCCGGTTCTCTGTGAGTTCGAGGCCAGCCTGGGCTACCAAGTGAGTTCCAGGAAAAAGGCGCAAAGCTACACAGAGAAACCCTGTCTCGAAAAACCAAAAAAATAAAATAAAATAAATAAGTCTCCGTATATTTATTTAGGAGCTTGGTGGGCCCCCAAAGAGTTAAGAAAAAAATAATAAAACCAACTACACATGGGATCAGTCATTGGAAGGCCACTCCCACGTGTTCTGTGGCATCTTTACCCCAGCACATCTTGCAGGCAGGACAAATTGTAGGTTGAAGGTTTTGTGGCTGGGTTGATGTCCCAGTCCCTCCACTGGAAGTTTTGCCTGGTTACAGAGATGACTGGTTTAGACTCCATGTCCCCCATTACTAGCAGTCTTCACTAGGGTCACCATTGTGGATTCCTAGGAGTTTCCATTGCACTAGGTTTCTACCTCGCCCCCAAATGACCCCCAATTTCAGTCACCTCTCCCAGTACTGAAAATCTTGGAATTTGATTTTGAGCTGCAATATAAACTTAGGCTTGGGTTTTTTTTTCTTTCATACATTGTCTTGAAATTTTTAAACTCATTTTTTTATAGTTGAGTTCAGAGTGGTATGTTTTTTTTTTCCGAGTTGTATATTAATTTTCAAGTGAGAAAGTATTGGATTAATGTTGGGTCAGTCTGTCATATAAAAATTATCTCCTTTTCTAGGTCATCTTAGAGGACCCAGGACTCCAGAAATGTTTCCGTTGAAGGATGCTGACATGGGTGCCTTTACTTTCTTTGCCTCAGCTCTTCCACATGATGTTTGTGGGAGCAATGGACTTCCTCTCACACCAAATTCCATCAAAATTTTAGGTCGCTTTCAAATCCTTAAGACCATCACCCATCCCAGGCTGTGCCAATATGTGGATATTTCTAGGGGAAAGCATGGTAAGTTTTGTTTTTTGGTTTGTTTGTTTTTCTTTCTTTCTTTTTCTTTTTTTAAATTTTATGTTCACTGCTTCAATTCACGATGCAATTTTTTCTTTTCTTTTCTTATTTAAGAATTTTTTTTTATTCATTTTACATACCAACCACAGATCCCCCCTCATCCCTCCTCCTGCTCCCCCTCCAGCATCCCCTCCCTGCCCCCATCCCCTCCTCCAACAGGGTAAGGCCTCGCATGGAGGGACAGCTAAGCCTGATATATTCAGTTGAGGCAGAACCAAGCCCCTCCCCACTGCATCAAGGGTGAGCAAGGTGTCCCACCATAGGTAATGGGCTCCAAAAAGCCAGTTCATGCACCAGGGATAGATCTTGATCCTGTTGCCAGGGGCCCCTCAAACAGACCTAGCCACACAACTGTCTCCGTCTCCCATATGCAGAGGGCCTAGTTTGGTCCCATGCAGGTGCCACAGCTGTTGGTCCAAGTTTCACGATGCAGTTTTAAATGCAGAGTCAAAATGTGTTGACATGCATTCATGAACTTGCTTTTTAATGTTTCGAAGTAAATTTGACTAAGTTTGAAAATGAAAAGGGAGTCATTACTTTCCTACTGTTGCAGTTGCTTTTCTTATTGAGCTGAAGTAGTTGGGTGAAAGCCGTCTTTTGTGACAGCAGGTGCACTGCCATTGTGATCGTATAGAGGGTTCCTCCAAACCTGAAGTTGCTGATGATGACAGTGCTTGTCGTACTAGAATTGTTTAGAAATCTTAATGGCAGGCTGAAGTTCTGTGTCTTAAGATTATCTTAAATGTCCTTTAGTAAAATGTGCCTGATTTTCTGACATAAAATAATTTGGAGATATAAAAATATATCAAAGTCAAACCTTCATGCTTTCTGACATACAACAATTTTTTCTATAAAATATCTATTTCATATGTTTCTACCTAATGGTAAATACCTTCATAAATACTTACTTTTTCTTTGTTTTTCTGAAAAGCTTGCTAAACTATACTTGAAGTTGGCAAGTTCATTTCTTTTAAAAGTATTTGCTCTGAGAATATTTTTTGTTGGCTACGAGCAGCATATTCTTTTGTAATAGTAGCTCTCATTATGACTTCTTATTACATGCTGAGTGATAGTCTAGATGTTTACTTATAACAATTAAAAATCTTCATCATACTGCTATATAACAGGAACAGTTACAGTGTTGTTTTACTATAGGCAAATTTCTAAACAGTCTTATTAAATAAGAAACACAGAGCCAAATACAGAGATGCAAGCTGTAGAGACCAGAGCAATAGCCACCAACTAACCTTAGCTCACCACGTTTCCGTAGCTTCACAAGAGAGAGCTTCTTCCTGTCTGACCTGCGCCTTTATTGCTTTCCTGTTCTGCCTTCTCATTGGCTCTAAGCCCAGCCACATGACTTCCTCATCACTGCCTGTCTATACAGACTTCCAGGTCTCAATGGTTGGTACTGGGATTAAAGGCGTGTGTCACCACACTTGGCTGTGTCCTTGATCACACAGAGACTCTGCCTGCCATGTGATCAGATTAAGGGTGTGTGCTACCACCTCCTGACTTCTGTTTATGGCTGACTATGACCTCTGACCTTCAGGCAAACTTTATTTATTAACATATAAATAAAATATCACATTTCAGCACAGATAAAATATCACCACATTTTATAGATAAGGAAATTGAGGCAGAGAACATGATGGCATATAGGAAAATAAGAAAAGATAAATACTAATACATACAAAAATAAATTTTGTTACTTGATTAATACTTTCAAAGTCACTATAAGGCTATAATAATGCCATAGCAGTATCATTCAGACTGTTTGGTCCCTTTATACTGTAAAACTCTACTGTATACCTAGTACCTTGAATATTTAGGTGTTTTTAGAAAGCTTAACCAGAGGCAAGGGGAGATAGTGGTAAAAAATAGCAATTATCTAGTAGATGATTATATTTGATTTTTCATACTCACATATATGTATGCACACATGACTGTATGAATGTATGTAAATATAGACATACCTACATATTGAAATATATGTTATTTTTTTAGCTTTTTTTGTGGTGTAAAGTTGCCTTTAACTTATTGATTCAGCAAATATTAGTAAAAGATTATTATTGTGTGGCCTGGCTTAATCTTTCAGGTGAAAACTATTAAGAGTTTCTTTCTATATGTATTTGGAGGGCAGACCTGAAAGAAAGCTGGCTTTGAAGCAGTAATTCTAGGCAACTCCAAGAATGTCCTAAGTTTGCCTTTAAGTAAGAAGATAGAGCTCGGCATCCTTCACCTTCTGCAGCAGTATAACACCATGAAGCCCACAACAGCTGCACTTTCTGCATTTCAACAGCTGTCTGTCATTGTGAAGTCACACAAGTTCTCCTTCTTTACCCTGACCTGTGGGAAGTCTACAAATTGATAGTCCACCTGAAGAAACTGTAAATCTATCAATATTGCTAACTTTATATCTTATTCTGCTTCCTAAGTAAAATCTCCATAAGTAAAATCAAAGTATCTACTCCAAACTGTTTTACTTTTTAATTCATAATTAATTTGTGTGTGATTTGACCAGAACCTAGCATTATACCATAGGACATATTTGCTAATTAAGAGACCTACAGTCAGGGCCACTATATGTGTTCCATTTGTATATTACATAAAAGCTTTGGGCTAATGTATATGAATGCTAAACTTAGTTCTGAAGAATTCTGGAAGAAAGGGTACTTTGATTATAATTGGCTTAAAGATAATCAGGAGACTAATGGTAACTATCCCTATAGTAGAGAGTAGATAGTTCCAGCCATTTGCCAAAAAAAAAAAAAAAAAAAAAAAAAAAAGCCCAGTAAGGAACCTCTAACAAGTTTTTTTTTTTTAGTTGTTAAAATGGTTTCAACAATATTGATGTTGGAAAATTATGAGAATCATTTACAGATTTTTACATCATCCAACAATGAATAGATGCTGTCATTCTCTGCATGTTTTAACAATTAATCCCCACCCTCCCATGTAGTTCAGTTAGAGCTTCTAAAGAAAGACCTTGCAATTGCAGAATTTCCCAGTCCCAAATCACTCCAAGCAAACCTGAGCAGTATAGTACATTATTGTTATCCTCGGCTGATGACCATATTGAGTAGGACATTCTCCTCAGACCCTTATCACCTTATTTAGTTCCTAGAACTTCATTCTTGTTTCTTAAAGTGACTTTAGTTTCTTCCTCTTATATCTGGAGAACTCTTTGGAGCTTCACAATCTATATATAATGCAAGCCTTGCTCTCTGACTAGTTTTTGTATGCCTCCTTTTGTCACAAGGTTAATTCATCAGGTCTGTATCATTCTCTAGCCCCTTTACCCCACTCCAGTTTTATTTCCTCTAACCAAATGGCCCCTGTCAGCACTAAAATTGTGTTGTTGCAAAGCAGAACCCTTTCGGAGGGAGGATCACTCTTACTAACCTCGCCTGTGAACCTCATTTGGTTATCAGTGCCAGACAGAAGAAGATCCCCTTATATACCACAGTCTGCTTTGAGCCAGACCAACAGTCTGCTTAGTCTCCTGCCCTGACCACCGTTGTCAGTAGTCACTCTGTTTTTCCCAAATTCACAGCTCTAAGATGTTGTTGTTGGTTTATCTCTTTTTGGGGGGCCCGCTACCCAGCTCCCAAATAAATCACTCGTGGAGGCTTATTCTTAATTATGAATGCCCGGCCTTAGCTTGGCTTGTTTTTTGCCAGCTCTTCTTAGCTTAAATTATCCCCATCTGTCTTTTGCCTCTGGGATTTTCCTGTTCTCTTACTTCTGTAAATCTTACTCTTACTCCATAGCTTGCTGTGTAGCTAGATGGCTGGCCCCTGGAGTCTTCTTCCTTCTCTGACTACTTCTTCTTCCTCCCAGATTTCTCCTTCTATTTATTCTCTCACTGCCTGCCAGTCCCTCCTATCCTTTCTCCTGCCTTGCCATTAACTGTTCTGTTCTTTATTAGGCCATCAGATGTTTTAGACAGGCCCAGTAACATAGCTTCACAGAATTAAACAAATGAAACATAAACAAAAGTAACACACCTTAAAATAATATTTTACAACATTAAGATCTCAGCAGTTCTCTCAAGGAGGGTCACAGAGGAGATGGACATGCTAAAGATTCCTATATCATAAGCCTGTCTGCCTGGACTGAAATATCAATGACTAGAAACTAGAGGATTTGATTTCTTGTATATATTGGCAGTTTGGTGCCCAAAACATTTGTGTGCATAAGGAGTAAATAACTGAATTATAATAAGTGCTTATTTAGAAATCCACTTATTCTGAAGAATTTCAGTCATTTTCATGGCATCTAATTTGAGAATTGAAGTTTCTATTTTATAGCCTCCTTAGTCAACAGCACATACTTCTCAAGTCATATGACTTTGGTTTAACATCATTTCATTGTCTCATGAAGAATTTTGATTTTTGGATCTATGCTTTCCTCTTTTTCATTCTTGCTCTGCACACATTTTGTTATTTGTGACTCTTCCATGACCACTTCCTTTCTTTGTACATGGAGTTGTGACATGTGGCCTATTTTCTTACATTATGCTTTCACATGTTTGGTTCATATAGAAGCCAGACCTTCAGTGTTTTCTGATTCCAAATTGGTGGGAGATGCTACTTCTTGGATGATGCATTTAATGTCAAGAATATAGACATCTTATTAGAACTTGAAAGCATGATTTATTTTTTAAAAGCCAATGCTATATATTTAAATGAAGCCAACAAAACTTAAATATACAGATTTTTATCAAGTTTAACCTTTTTATTGAGTTGAAATATCAGCAGAGTTTAGAAGTACAATGAAGATTTTAAGTGGTAGTATGCCCTGCTGTGGTTGGTATTAATTATCTAGAAATACTTCTGTAATTGCTAGTGAGATAAAATGAAGGAAAAATTATTTTGCTACATAGATTTGAAATTTAAGTCAAAATAAATATCATTATTAAGGACATACTATAATTT